CCCCAGTGCCCCCTGGCCGGCCTGGGTTAGGGGCCCAGCCCAGGGCAGGTGTGCACCAAGCCCAGTGCAGCTGCAAACAGACTCCCAGAGACTATGAGAAGGACCCCTGACCCTGTATGTGACACGGGGGAAGGGCGTGTGTGACAACGTGGGCGTCTCCGGGTTTATCTGAGGGTCTGTGACAGCTCTGGCCTCTGAGAGCCAGGAACACGTGGGAGTGGGGGCTGCAGGTGCTGTCCCCGGGGGCTTTGACGAGTCCCCTGCCAGCTCCAAGGCGTCGCGAGCCCCAGGGTCTGATAAACGCTGGGCCCCGGCCGGCCCGGGCCTCACCCGACAAGCCCTATTTTAAACCTGGGCCGAGCCTGGAGCCGAGCGCAGGCTGCCCGCTCACCAGGCCGCCGAAAAGGGAAAGTATTTTCCGTAATTACAAGCATTGTGCTCCGTGATTACCGTGTCCCGTAATGACAGCTGTGCGCCGGGATGACAGGCAGGCCGCCGCCCCGTGCGCTCCCGACACAAACATCTCCCTGGTCCAGGCACGGGTTGGGGGGCTGGGCTCAACCGCAGAGACTTGCGGCGCCCCAGAGCGCGTGGCATGGGCACCCCGAGATACTTCTCCTCCGTGGCTCCCGGCTGCAGCCCGGGGCCCTGCGCCCCTCTCCCAGGACAGCAGACACGGGAACAGCAGGCGGGTCCAGCCCTTCTCATGGCAGCCGGCCCAGGTGCTTCCTGTAGCCCGGCCTGGGGCAGCTTTGCATGCGTGGGCCCCAGCCGAGGGGGCTCCGTGGGACGCGGGCCCCGGCCGAGGGGGCTCTGTGGGACGCGGGCCCCGGCCAAGGGGGCTCAGTGGGACCAGGGACCCAGCCGAGGGGGCTCCGTGGGACGCGGGCCCCGGCCAAGGGGGCTCAGTGGGACGCGGGCCCCGGCCAAGGGGGCTCAGTGGGACCAGGGACCCAGCCGAGGGGGCTCCGTGGGATGCGGGCCCCGGCCAAGGGGGCTCAGTGGGACGCGGGCCCCGGCCGAGGGGGCTCTGTGGGACGCGGGCCCCGGCCGAGGGGGCTCCGTGGGACGCGGGCCCCAGCCGAGGGGCTCTGTGGGACGCGGGCCCCAGCCGAGGGGGCTCAGTGGGACGTAGCATATCTGGAGGTGACACAATGAACAGAGGAGAAAGTGCCTTTGAGGGGAACCGACATCTATCGATGGCCGCTTACCATAATCTTCTAACAATCCTGCCCCAAGCGACGTGTATGTTAAATCTGGCCCTGCCCTGCCCCCTGCAAAGCTAAACAAGGGACGTTAAAAATAGCCCTGGTCGTATTTACATATTTCTCTCCCCCCAACCCCCAAGCCTTTTCGGTTTATAGTTCATCATTCCAGGGATAAGAATGCGAAAATTGTCTCTGTGTATTTACACAACTGAGCCATCGCTGGGTATCGCGCTGGCCATCGGGCCCTTCCAAGAAAAATGAGCTTTTATCTCAGCTCCTCTGCCCCAGCGCCCGGTGCAGAAGCGCTGGGATGGGCGCATGGCCCCAGCGCCCGATTCCATCCGGGCCCCGGGGGCTGGGCCTCTTGGGGGGCCGTCCAGGGGCTGAGCTGAGTCACAAGCTGCCCCCACCCCGGGGGCACCCAGCCTCCCGGTCCCGTCTCCTTGCCAGCACGGGCGGGGTGGGTGGCAGGCAGCGAGGACCTGGCCAGTGGCCTTTGCTGCCAGAGCCCAGGGCCGCGCACGGGGACCGATCCCAGCAGGCCCAGGGGGTCAGTCAGGCCTGGCCTGTGGCACAGGTCTGTCCCCCGGCCCTGGGGGTCTGTGTCCGCCAGGGTCTGGCCAGAGTGGGCAGCCCTCAGCGGCAGCCTAGCGCCCCTCTTGGGGTGCAGAAATCCTGAACCGACCTTGCAGAAGGTCAGGCTGGCTGCCCCCCACCCCCCCCCAGCAACCCCCTACCCAATCCCCTGGGGCCACCAGCGCGCAGCCCTGTGGCAGGGAGCAGCCAGCGTTTTGCTTACGGTTCTGCCTCAGAATTTATTGTATTTAACACACCCAGGCGCCTGCCCCGCGGGGCTCCAGCGGTGCCCACGGCTGCGCGTCTCCAGGACCCTGAACTGTCCAGACCCTGCCTTCCAAGCACGCAAGGCCGGAGAGCCATCAGGGCCTCCTGGCTCCCTGCCCTGGGCCCTGCCTGCTGCAGGGCTGCGGCCGGGCTGAGAGGAGAGAGGGCGCGGGTGCGAGGGGGTCAGGGCCCCGTGCTGGCGCCCCTGGCTGCACCCTCCGGGTCCCAGGATTCCGCCCCCACCCCCGCCCCCGGGGCAGACCCTGCTTCATTCGGGTCCCCAAGTTCTGCCGAGACCCAGCAGTGGGCCTCGCATCCCGCTGCGCTGGAACCCCCGTTCCCGCTCCCGTTCCTCCAGGAGTGGGGGGTGGAGGTGGGGAGCGCGCAGGACCACCCACGACCCCGCCCCCTGCCCTCCGCGGCGCTCCCCTGGGGCCCTGGCTGGGGGCGCGCCCCCCGCGGCGCCGGGGGCCCCACTGCCCGGCGGGACCGATAAGCGGGTCCGGGGAGCCCGGGGGAGTCGCGCGCACAGCGGGAGGCCGGGGGCGGGCGGGACCCGCGGGCCGAGCGCCGGCCGCCGTCTCCAGCGTCCCGCGCCGCTCGCTAGCTGGGCGCCCGTGTGGCCGCGGGGCGGGGCGAGGGCGGCGTCCCGCAGGTAACTCCGGGGCGGGGAGACCCGCCCGGGACCCCCGGACCAAAAGGCCCAGGGGGAGGAGCGGCGCGGCCGTACGCGAGGGCGGCCGAGTCGGCTCCGGCGCGCGCGGCTTCGCGTCCCGCCTCTGGGGAGGAGAGGGGGACGGTCCCCTCCTGCGCTGGGCTCGGACCCTGGCCCTCAGAGTCGCCGTCGGCCCCTCTCCAGGACCGCGCGCGTCCGGGGCGCACCGGAGCCGGGCAGCGAGCAGCGCCATGCTGGAGGGCGACGTCGGCGCGCAGGGGCCCTGCCCCCAGGAAGCCCCCGCAGCCCGTGAGTATCCGGGGCGGCGCGGGGCGCGGGGGACCCGGAGCGCGGCCGCAGCGGCGGCTGAGCCGAGGGGCGCGTGGGGAGCAGCGGCCGGGGACCCCAACCCCCGTGCTGCAGCGGTGGACGCGGGAGGAGGGCGCTCGGGGTCGCTGTGGTCGCCCCCAGACTGAGCGACCGGGCTGCGCGGGGGGCTGGGCAGGGGGCGCCTGCGGGGAGGGGGCAGGGGGCAGCGCCTGCCAGGCCGGCCAGGTTGTTCCGTGTCCCCCGGGAGCGTCTCCCAGCGGGGCCGCGTCCAGGGCTGGGGCGGATGCAAGGTTTTCGGATGTTTTTACAGGCGCTATTAATACACAGAATATTTCCGTGCTACTCCGGAGATTTATTTGCGATATAAAGTAACTCGAAATCATAATGGGAAGTGCAGAGGAACTTAGCGAGTCCGGGAGACGGATGAGGCTGGCGCGGGAGGCGGGCGGGGGCGTCCCTGGCTTCCTCGCCGGCTCTCTGCTCATAAATCACAACCCTGGATATTTTTATACCAATAATTCGAAAATAAATGACCCGAGCCTGCTTCCTGGATGGCTCCTCCTGGTTCAGAGGTTACTAAGGAAATCTCGGAGTGGGATGGTGACCGGGGGCTGCGGGCCTGCCCTCCTGAGCGCCTGGGTGGGGCCCCGCAGGCTGTCCCTCAGGAAGCCCCTCCTTGGTGGCCCCTGCCCGCGGCTCCTTTGTGGCTTCCAGTGCAGAGCGCGACTCTGCCGTGTGTGCGGCTTCGACAGCCGTCTTGGCCCTGGAGGAGGGCAGGAAGGTGCCGCCACCTGCGGCGGGAGGCGAGGCTGGGGCGGCTCCCCGGGAACCCGCGGAGACCCCGGCCGCGTTTGTGGAGCAGTGCTGAGCATTTACCCCCAGTGCCCTTGGGGAGGTGGGGACTAGAAACCACGGCCAGGCCACCAGCACCTGGACCCCAGGCCGCAGCGGGGCCGTCTCCAGGACGCGCTCTCCTGCATGCCCGCATGACGGCGGGGCCTGTGCTCTGGCCTCGCCTGGGCCGCGTCTCGGGCGTGGGCACCCGAGCCTCCCCCCGACCTATAGGACACCGGCATCGGATCTGAGCCCTGCTCCGGCCGCCACCCCTGGGGAGCAGTCGTTCTGGCCCTGTTGCACCTGCTCCTGGGGTGGGGGGCGGCCCTGGTCCTCTGCCCCGGGCCCAGCCGCGTCCCTGGGTTCTGGGCTTGGCGCCGGGCCCGTCATTCCATTGCAGCAGGCACACAGAAAGTGCCTTGGCAAAGCCCGTGGGCGTCACGCCACTCCTTGGCTCCCTAGGGGCTCTTGCTGGCGCTCACAGGTAAATAGACCATAAAGAAGCCACAGGGCCGGGCGACAGTCGGAGGCCTGGAAGCCAGGGGCCTCTTTGTCCCCCTGAGGGGTCAAGGTGCGGTGAGCAGGGGCCCTGGCCCAGGGGCACAGCTGGGTCTGAACCCCAGCGCGGAAGCCTGCGGCTGTGTGACCCCGGCCGACTAACTCGACCACTCTGAGCATGACCTGTAAAGCCCGCTGAGGACCTGGGCTGGAGGCTCTCCTGGGTGCTGGGCATGGGGGAGTCCTGTCGCTGTCGCCATAGCCGTGACCCAGCTGTGAAGTCGCCCTCGACATGTCGCCCCAGAGCCCGGCGTTGTGCGGCTGGTCCCAGCGCCGGCTCCGTCCTGCTTCCCTGCCCCACGTCCCGAGCGAGGCCGCCTCCCGCGCTGCCTGCCGCAGCAGTCTCCGGTTTTACCCATAAGCTCACGGGGCACCTCCCCACGGGGGAAGGTGGGGTCTGCAGCATCCGCCGAGCTCACTCCGGCTCGCGCCTCACACCCAGCACTTGGAAAGCAGCCGCCGTGCCTGCCTGGTGCGCCCTGGGCGGCAACACTGGCCTCCCCGCCTCCCTCCAGCAGGTGGGCCCTGCTGTTCCGCCTTTAACATATGGGGAAACTGAGGCACGGAGTGGTGACTCAGGGTCACGCAGCCGGCAGGTGGCAGGGGCAGGACCTGCAGCCCAGCCAGGTCACTGGGCCGGTGACCTGCTCGGTGGGGAGGGGAGGGCGGTCCCTCCCGGAGCTTTCTCCCGCTGCTGAGCCCCGCCCGTGCTGTGCCAGGGCCGTAGCTGACAACGTCCGGGCCTTCCCTGGCCCTCGTGTACCCCAAGAACTGAGAGGCGAGCAGCTAAGGGGGTCGCGGCGCACGCGGGGACGTGGCCATTTCACGTGGGTAGCCAGGGAGGCTCCTTGAGTGGGTGGCGTGGTGCTGGCCCCGTGGGGCAGCGAGGGCAGGAGGGAGCGAGGCGGCACGGGTGTGGCCACCAGAACCGCTCGGGCTAAGGGACACAGGAGCCCCGGGGGCCTTGGAGCAGGGGAGGGCCTGCCGCCCTGGGTCTGGACCCGTCTGTCCGGCTGCTGTGTGGAGGACGGGCAGGAGGGCCGAGGGCGGGAGCGGAGAGAGGCTGGCAGGGGTGCGGCGGAGGTCAGGCCCTGGCGACTTTCCAAGGAGGAGCCGCAGCAGTGCACCCGCCCGGCTGTGGGTTCTGAGAGCCCGCGGTCAGGGCCGGCTCCAGGCTGGGAGCTCAGCTGCTCAGCCGGCGCGGGGGCCGGAGCCGCAGGGCTGGCGCAGAGAGCTGAAGGGCTGGCCTTTCGTTGTTGTCCTTTGAGATCTGAAGAAATACGGACGTGGCGTTTGATGGCGTTGTACTCATTTTAAATGTCCCACGTCCCAGGCGTGGCGTCAGGGACGGTCACGGTACTGTGCAGCCGTCACCAGCCACCGTCTAGGTCCCCAGCTTCTTCATTGCCCCAGAAAGAAACCCGGCACCCATCAGGCCGTGACCTCCCGAGCCGCCCGCGGTGGCCTCTCCATGAATTTGCTCTTCTAGATTCCCACAGAACTCTAGGCACCGTGCTCGCTCCTTTTGTGCCTGGACGCATTTCAGGTCACTGGCTGCTTGTGATAACAAGCATCCGTGTCTGCTTCCCTCGTGGCCAAGCTGTGCTCCACGTGTGGCCTTCGTGGCTGAGCCGTGTGGCCTTTGTGGGCGAGCTGTGCTCCACGTGTGGCCTTTGTGGCTGGACCGTGTGGCCCTCATGGCTAGGCCACGTGGCCTTTGTGGCCGAGCTGTGTTTCCATGTGTGCCTTCGTGGCTGGGCCGTGTGGCCTTCGTGGCTGAGCCGCGTTCTACCTGTGGCCACTCTGCGCGCTCTCTACCCGTTCTCCCACCAGGGGACACCTGGAGAGCGACACCTTTCGGCTGCTCTGAGTAATGCAGTAGTGGACGCTTGTGTCTGTGTGAGCTCCTGCTGTGGTTCCTCGGGGCGTGGAGGGCACGCAGCCGGCTCAGGCGGCGGCGGCGGCGGCACCTTGCGGTTTTAGAGGCCTGTGGGACTGCGCTGCAGGCGGCTGTGCCCTGCCCACGCCCCAGTCCCCGTGGCCCCTCCGTGCTACTGCTGCTTTTCATTACAGCCATCTAGCGGACAGAAGTGGCTGTGACTCGGTTCCGCGTCTTTGCGTGTGTGCTGGTCTCTGTAAATCTTCTCTGGAGAAATAGCTGTTCAATTCAGGTGTTTTATGTATTTTCAAAGATTTGCTTGTTTTTTATTTGAAAAGCAGAGCAAAAGAGAGAGCGGGGAGGAGGAGGAGAGAGAGAGAGAGAGATATCTTCCATCTGCTAGTTTACTCTTCAGATGGCTGCAACAGCCAGGCCGGGCCAGGCCGAAGCCAGGAGCCAGGAGCTGCAGCCTGGTCTCCCCCGTGGATGGCCAGGTGCCCTCTCGGGTGCATTGGCAGGGCGCTGGATGGGAAGCTGAGCAGCCGGGCAAACCTGCGCCTGGCGCTCCTGGCACTCCTGGCACTGCAGTGCAGGGCGGGGCACAGCGGGGTTACAGCACTGGCCGTGCTCTGACGCTCTGTTTCTCTGTGCCGCTGCGTTGTGGGGGTTCTTTACGTAGCCTGGATCTGGAGTGCTCACGTCCGGTGTGACTCGCAGGTATTTTCACATATTCCGCGGGCTGTCTTATGTTCTCTGGGTACAATCCTTGGAGGAGCAAACCATCGCTCGTGGAGTCCAACTTTTCTCTCTCGTAGCTCATGCTTTTGGGGTATCTCTAAGGCCCCGTGGCCACCCCCGGTCGCGAGGACCGACCCCTGTGTTATTTCAAAGAAGCCTGTGGTTTGGGCTCTCGCACTGAGGTCCTGGTGACGTTTCGAGTCGGCCCCGGTGTGTGGGCCGCGGTGGGGACCCTCCTGTGTCCTCTCACGCGTGGGTGTCCAGTCTCGTGGCACCGTTTGTTCCAGCGCTTCTCTCTGGGGCTTTGCTTGGCACAGAGAACGGTAACGCCGACACGTGGGGCATCCCCTGCGTGCCTGCGGCCGGGCAGAGTGCGAATTGTGGGGTGCATTGGGGTGTCCTCTGGACAGCCTCGGGCAGATGGGGCTCCGCGCCGACCCAAAGGCCAGGAACAGCTTCCTGCGCTGGGAGCAGGGTGGGAACCGGCGGCCTGCCCGCTGCAGCCAGAGCCACGCATGGGGAGACTCAGCAGCTCCTGCGCGGAGTGCGAGTGCCACTGTGGCCGGAACCACGTGCTCCGCGGAGGTGGCAGCCCCGCGAGCTGAGCTCCGGCGCTGTGATGCAAAGACCTAGGGGACCGTCTTCTGCCTCTGGTCGAGGCAAACCGCACTCCACCAGAACAGGCTGGGCGGTGTCTCCTTGGAGTCATTACAGCGCCGGACGCCGGGACACAGCGGCCGCAGTCCCTGCTCTTGCAGGGTTGAGTCTGTGTAGGGATCCACGGGGTTGACCTTGTGCCGGGTGGGCTCTGTGTGTCAGGGAGGGGTCCTCCCCAGGAGCCAACAGCCCCTGCGCCCCAAGCTGCCGTTGTGGGTGGCTCAGCGATGGCTGGGCCTCAGCTGTGTCCGCCACGTCTGTTGGCCTGGATTGGCTTTGTCCACTGAGCAGCAAGAACGTTGTTGTGGCCATT